ACAGCTCTGCCTCTACTTCCCCACGAGCCACTCACAGAGAAGACCTTGGGGTTTAAGCAAATCAAGCTCAGAAAATGCCAAATGGTATGCAGGTTGGAGGGGCAGGGGACAGGGGAGGGATTGGCAGGCTGCCGAGGGAAGAAGCAGATTCATTCTTCTGGAATGGTTTTCTAGGAGGACGCTCAGTTCTTACAGGGGACTGCTGTAAGCAGGGACCCAGGGCCCTCTGCCTCTACTGCCCCACGAGCCACTCACAGAGGAGACCTTGAGGTTTAAGCAAATCAAGCTCAGAAAATGCCAAATCTGAAATTAATCTAGAACCAGTTCTAGGCCTCATCTGCTTGAGTGACAGCCAGAACTAACAGGTCACGTGCCTACTTCCTTTCTGAAGGGAGCCCCAGACCAGCCCAAGTGAAAAAGCATTGAAGCTACTTGGTAAACAGTAACGATTATTACTTCCTTTAGGATAAAACTGGGTCCTCGGATCCACCCTCCACTCCAGCCTCGCTCCAAGTAAAATCCTACATATACTCCGTCCTTCTCCCTTTCCTCCCCCATAGGACACTGCCCATGGCCTTGGCGGCTACCAGGTCCCCACCTGCCACACCTGCCCAATTCCCTGGTGAGAAGACCACTCACCTGGCCAGCCTGAGAGTCACCTGGGAAGGAAAGGTGAGAACATGAGCTCAGGGAGGGTAGTCTGGCCGCTTCTCCCCTCCACCCACGGCCAGGGCTGGTTCCACCTGTGACCTCCTGACCTTGTCCCCAGAGGTCAAGCAGTGGAGAGAGCTCAGACTCTTATGCCTGCCTCTGCCCCTCCCGCCCCACTGGGACTGGCCACCACAGACCCCAGAATCCCAGATCTGGAGGGTCTACAAGGTGTGTCACTTGGTGAGAGGAAGCCTCTAGTTTCCTCCAAGGCCTCCTGTGATGGGAGTCCCACCCCACCTGGGCCAGTCCACCCTGTGGTCCTAGTTGTCACCCTCCTGCCTCCCAAGCCTGCCAGTCACACCGGGTCACTCTGCCCCTCCCAGTTCTAGGGAGGAGAGGAGTTGCTCCTCCCTTGGTCACTCTGCCCCTCCCCCTCACCGGGGGAACAGTTCTAGGGAGGAGAGGAGTTGCTCCTCCCTTAGTCAGGGTCCAGTTCCCATGATGACTAGGGCTCTGTCCTGACTTCCCTCTCTCCTGGAGGAATTTTGGCCATCACATAGTTCTCCTGGTCCTACTATGACCTTGGCCTCCTGCACTCTGTGTTACCAGTAACTTGGGCATGCCTTCTGCCTGGTTTCCCAGGGCACCTGCCAGGGGTGCCTCAAGCTCAGTCTCCTCCCAGCCCCTTGCCTCCTGGGCCCAAGGCAGTTGAGCTGGAGTTCGTGCTCTGACTCTGAGGCGAGGGTTGGGGATCGAGAGCACCCAGACTCCCCAGGATCCACCCGCCAGCTCCTCAGGCCTTGAAGCCACCACCAGCCTCAGAAGCTGCATGGCCAGGGGCAGGGGATGGGAAGACTGAGGAGCTGGGGTGGGGGCTGCTGTTGACCTGTCCCACCTCCACCAGCAACGCCCTGGGATGTGGGCACCTCTTGAGCCCACAGGGGAGAGGAAGTGGGTGAGGCCTCATGCCAGGCCAGGAGAGCAGGGTCCCAGCGCTGGGTGCTGCTGCTCCAAAGTCCCTTTCCTAAGACTTCAGAGGTGGATGCCAGGCACCCAGGATAATCTCCCAGTGGCTCTTTGAGGTGCTGCAATCCAAGGGGAAGGGGAACCCTCCATGCATCTCCCCCAACCCAGATACCCTTATCAGGAATGGTCCCAGCCTCCAGCCAGGTGCTGGTGGCCGCCCGGAGTGGCTGCCTCTCCGCTGGTCTGGACAGGGTCCCACTGGTCTTCTGCCCTTGCTCCCTCGAGGGCCTGGCCAGTTCCTCCTCCTCGGCTTTCCTCATGGTCAGGCGGATGTCTGAGCTCGAGTAGGTGTAGCCATGGCCGGCGGGACAGATCTCCCTGAAGGCCTCTACAAGGTCAATGGTCAGAGACTCACTGAAGATGCTGTGCCTGCAGGGACCCAGGGCCCTCCTTCCCCTCCCTCCCCTCCCTTTGGGAGGCAAGGCTACTGCAGCAGCAAGGAGGGAGGGGCCCCATGTTGGTTAAGGAGTTGAGCAGGAAGGAAGACTAGGGTCTTCTGGCTTAAGGTTAGGTCCAGGTGGGGGAAAATGGCAACTGCTTATAGGAAGCTTGAGACGGGGTGGGGTGGGGGGAACAAGGGGTTACCTGTGCCAGGCAGGGGGCATTTCTCACACTTGCTGCCCCATGCTTTGCCCACTCGGCTGCAGCAGCATATCTGCTTGGTGATCCTCTGGGTCAGAGGCAGGGTGCAGGTGCCTGGCCCCAGGGACCGGTAGCACAGCCCCTGCTGCATGGAGACAGCCTTGTCCGCTGAAACAGACATAGCAGGTGGGGATGGGCCCGTGGCCAGGGGGAGGGGAAAGCAGAGGCAAGAAGGCAGAGGATGGAGGAGTGGCTGGTCGTGCCCTCGGATCTGCCCGGCCTGCGTCACAGTCTGGGAGTTTGGGGCCCTGAAAACGCTCACAAGAATGTTAGGAAGAATAGCTACAGTGGAATGCTTCACCACCTCCTCATGTTACCTGTTGGAGGGGACCCTGACTCCTGCCCACACGGAGAACCTGTTTGCAAGTGCTGAGCTACAAGTGTTTACCAAAGCCCAACATGGCCTGCGGTTGAGTGGGGAGCAGTGTGCTCTGAGGGCCACAGTCTCCTTGGGGAGAGGAGAGGAGGTGAGGACCAAAGGCCTGACGGGGAGCTTTCAGGGCAGGGACATTGTCCTCTTTGGAACCAGGCACCCTGCACAGCGTCTGATGGATTGATGGATGGTTAGATCCATGAATCAATCCGGTGGGCCACAGTGAGGGCGAGCTAGGCTGGGTTTCAAAAATAACAATGCCACTACCATTGTTCACTTGCTTGTGCTTAAAAAAAATAAAAAA